GAATTTGTTAAATGGATATAAAAGAGAAAGAAACATTCGACTATCCATCTTATAAATATAACATTTTACAATTTTTGAAAAATGGACGATAATTAAACGAATGGATATAATGTTTCATAGAATTTTCAAATTTTGAATCTCGGTCTCGCTAATTTTTTCCATCGACTGTTCAAACTATTCCAACTATTGTTTTATAGAGTGTAGTGTTTTGGAATGAATATACATTTGTGATTAATCTCACGACATTGTTTCTCGTAATAATGGATATCGCAATTATTATTTCCAGAGAATTCCGTTATTATTCCTACCAGCTTTGATGTTTTTCTAATTGTGCTACTGTGAATGTAGCATCTCCACAAATTTTGAAATGCAAATATATTTGAGAGCAATTCTCTAAAATTCTCTCGAGGGCGTGTTTTCATAAATCAATCCCGGCCTTTGCTCTCGACAAATATTATAATTGCAAACCCGGTTTTGCTATTTTTGCTATGTAACAAAGTCGGATGGGGAAAGAAGATTCGAAAGTGGGTCGCGACCTGGATCCATCCATCAATCCAGACTTCGATCGTCTCTCCTCATTCTCGTTCCATCATAAATAACAATCGTTTCTTTCGTGTCCTTTCCAGATATTTTCAACTCTTTTATTCGAGGAATCAATTAATTTAAATGCCAAGTATCGAGTGTTCAAACTCTATGTAGATATATGCAAGTTAGGTTAGGTTAGGTTTAGGTTAAATTGCCTAATTTGGATAACAAGTATCGAATGTATAATACATTCAAATGTGCTGCACATATATGTATTTATACAGTAGAGGTTAGGTTAGGTTAGGTTAGGTTAGGTTATCGTTGATTTGTTCAAACTGTATGTACAGTTTATATTAGATTGTTATTTAAATTGTTAATTTAAATACTAAATATATATATACTTGCATATGTGTAAAGGTTAGGTTAAGTTAGGTCAGAGAAATCGTTAACTTAGATGTCAAGTATCGAGTATTCAAATTGTATATAAAGATACATATGTGTAGGTTATACATACGTATCGAAAGTTCAAATTATATATATATATATATATATATATATAATGTGTAGAGGTTAGGTTGTATGTATAATATATGTATATATACAGATTGGGTTAATTTAGATATCAGATATCAATATTCAAACTGTATACATACATATGAATAAACATATATATGTAAAAGTTAGGCTAAGTTAGGTTAGATTATCGAGAAATCGTTAATTTAGATGTCAAGTATCATCGAGTATTCAAATTGTGCACATAGATACAGATATATCTATATGTACAGGTTAGATTAAGTTAGGTTAGGTTGTCGAGGAATTGTTAATTTAGATGCCAAGTATCGAGTGTTCAAATTATATATATATAGCCATATGTGCAGAGGTTAGGTTAAGATAGATTAAATTGTCGAGGAATTGTTAATATATATATATATACTAGTTAGATTAGGTTAGGTTAGATATATCTATATGTACAGGTTAAATTAAGTTAGGTTAGGTTGTCGAGGAATTGTTAATTTAGATGCCAAGTATCGAGTGTTCAAATTATATATATATAGCCATATGTGCAGAGGTTAGGTTAAGATAGATTAAATTGTCGAAGAATTGTTAATATATATATATTAGTTAGATTAGGTTAGGTTAGATAGAATATAAGTATATGTATAGGTATCGTGTACTTGTTTTTATACAGCATTGAAAACGATTGTCACGCGTGTGCAAGCGCTATTTGTGACCGGTTTTATTATAATTTATGCTGAAACCAGTTTCCTGCTGTGAGAGCCATTATTTAAGGATCGAAATAGGTTAGCCGATAGGTTAATTTGGAATAACTTTATTTTAAAAGTTGTTCGTTTAATCGTTTCTTTTCTTTCTTTCTTTTCTTTTTTTTTTTTTTTGCGTGTATATACTATGTTGATAATTCGATAAGCTAATGGCTTAATATACGTGGATTAATTGGTTATAAATCGATGGCAATGCGATTAATTAACTTTAGTGGCTTAAATATTACGATTCAAGTCGTAAAAGTGTTAAATTATGGAAACGTTACGTTAATTATTTTATTCCATATTCCATACTACCGACGTTTCCAATATTGCTACAATCACTTTTATCTCAATTTTTTCTGTATCAAATTTTGTATTATCTCAATGCCATTGTATTATCGATTATCAAAAATTCAATTATCCAATAAACACGCAGACCTCAAACTATAGAACTATAAGAATAGTTTTCTCGTGTACATTATACAAGCGTATATAACGTCGTCACGATGGAGAATTTTACCGCTTTCACGCATCGTGCCACCTCGAGGGAGCAACTGGAAAGCTATTCTCGCCTTGACACGGATCACGTGCGCCTCTGCGGATTAATTTCGATCGCTCGTAATTACGTAATCGAAACGAGCTATCGCGGATTTACAATACCGTGGCCACGTGGACAGAACTCGTATACTCGTGTATCTTGTAAATAACTTGTTCCCCGAATGTCGAATCAAATTATATCAAATACAGAGGATAACGCATGGAATTTTTAATATTACGAATTTTTATGTTAAACGATCGATTGATCAGAAAATAACTGATCAGAAGAAAAAGGAAGAAAGAAAAAGGTATTGAAAATACGGTTTAAGCTTTTTTTTTTTTTTCTAATATATTAAAATTTTCAGTCGATTGATGTGAACAATAAATTGTTCGAAATTCTATATAGAAAATGACACGTAAAATTTATTTAATGGTATAAATTTTAATATGACATATTGTTGATTATAATAATTGGAAGGTAAAATAAGTAATCGGATAAAGAAAGTATTGGAGATAATAGATTTGATTTTTGAAAGGAATGTAGATTTTTTTAAATCTATTTGAACTGTGTAGAGGTTATGTCGAAATAATTCGAATACTAGAATTTGAAATATTGCGATATCTGATATAAAGAATATTAATTATCAAATAATTGAACCAATCGAAAATTGTGTTTCAATTCTTTTTTAAAATAGATGTCTTATTTATTTTTTTTATTAAAAAATTCTATAGAGAAATAACGATAAATTATCACTGGTCGTATTGCAATACACGTTACTTTTATCTCGAAACTTTCTTTTCGATTCACAAAAATTTTATCATTTATATTTAAAATATAAATAACAATTATATTACTATTATTTCTGTATGTAGCTAAAATCAGAAAAAAATTCCAACAAACGTTAAAAAATAAAATTACACATACACTACGAAATATCACAACAGTGCAATAAATATCCTTCTCTCCACATTATTTTTTCACAATTTTTTTTCCATAATTTATATCCATTCTATGAAAACAGCATAAATAACATTAATACACGTCCACCAAGAGGGTATCTTCGATAAAGATCAGAAAATCGCGAATTCGTTCGTTGAACGAGAGCGATGAAAATCTGGGGAAAGTTTCGTGCGAATGTCACGATCGATTCACGTAATACACATTTCATAACGTGTTCGATTGATCGAGATAATTTTCGCGTCTCGTCTTGCGACATCGATCATGAAATACTTGGGTAAATATGACACTTTGTCGTGCAGGTAGCATTACTTCGCGTTTAATTGGGTCGAGAACGTGAGTTTGTGAGGTTAGGTTGCGTGGGAAAATTGAGATAGATTACGCGCAATTGGGAATAGAATTATTATTTGATTAGATAGGATGAATTATGCGTGTATTAATTTATCGTTAAGAAAATGGCATTTTTTTTAGAAAAGATTTTCGATAATAAAAGAACAATTGTGTTGGAATAATTGTCGATAAATCTAAGCCCCAATAAACCCTTCATATTTAATATCTAAATCAATGACTTTCAATGGCCTAACCTTTCATGACTTGGAATTCAAATAGCCTAAATTTCAATGATATAATTCACAATAATTTAGATCTTAAGCTTCTATAAACTATAATCTCGGCTTTGATAATATAAGTTTTAATAATTTAAATCTCGTCACTAACTTTAATAATCTAGGCACCGATAATCTATCTTTCAATATTGATAATATAGATCCTAATTACTTAACTTAGGTATCTATTCAGGTACCGATAAGATAGATTGATAATTTAGGTTAGGTTCTGATAATCTAAGTCTTCTAACCCTGATGATCTAATCTCAGTAATCTAATGTTAATCCCTAATAATTTAGATTCTTTGATAATTTAAATTCTGATAATGATTTTAATAACCTAGTCCGATGATTTACAACGATTTAAAATGATTTACACTCAAAAACTTAGACAGTAATTTAAACACCGATTTAGTCTCAATTTAAATTGATAATTTTTAAGGTTTTGATAATCTAAGTTCTAATAATTTAAGTTCTAATGATTTAACTTTAATAATCTAATGTAGATTTCCAATAATTTAAATTCCTGATAATCCCAATAATTGTGATAACTTAGGTTCAATGACTTAACTTCAATAATCTAGAGCCCTCATAATGTCTCAAGTAATCTATGCGTCCATAATTTATCCTTTAATAATTTAAATTCCTCGATAATCTAGGTTCTGATGTAATAATCTAATGACTTAACGCTGATAATCTAAACATACGATAATCTATCTTCCAGTAATCTAAATACCGATAATTTGTTTCCCATTAATTAAATTCCCTGATAATCTAGGTCTAATAATCTAAGTCCCAGTAACATAAGTCCTTTAACCTAACTTAATCTAATTTAAATACTAGTAGTCTAACTTGCAGTGATTTAGGCCGCCAATAATTTAGATTCCAATAATCTGAAACTCGATAATTTAATTCTAAATAATATAAATCCAATAATCTAGATCTTGACAATTTAGGATGCAATCATTTAAATTCTAATAATCTAATCCTTAATGTAGATCCAATGGTGCACCTTTAATGTTAAATGATTTAGTTTAATAACTTTACCTTTAATAACTTAATTCTTAATAATTTAGTCCCACTAACGCAATTACACTTCAATAATCTAATCTTTAATTTAGTCTCTAATGATTTATCTTCCAATAATTATAATAATTATATTTTCGCAATTATAATAATATAATCGCAAATATCTTTTCTCTATTTTCAAGAAATAAATTAAACACTAGATTTTAGATTCAGAAAAACAAAGATGATCCGGAATATCAATATATCTCCAAGAGAAAGGAAAAATTGTATTAAACAGATCGATTGAAATTGAAACATAGTGGTAGATGTCGCACGTGTCGCCCACTCGTGTGTCGCCACCGAATTACGTAAGAGTCAAAGTCGTTACTCATTGGCCGAGTCGTTCATGCATGATTCATCCTTTAATCCGGCGACCGGCTGTTAATAACGGCCGAGTTTATTTTAAAACCAACGTCCTGACACTGGATCCTACTTGATCGAAGCGATTCGAGGGCGATCGACCTGTGGCAAAAATTTTCATCTTTCTATCTGTCTCTTGATTCACCTTTTTGTAAATAGATGTAATGTTTTTCTTAGACATGTAAGTAAGGTTAATGAAAATATGTCACGTTTGGTGAATTGTTATTGATGTTATTGACATATCTTTGTTTGAATATAGGAATCCTTAAAAATGATTTATTGGAAAAGGATGATATAAAATAAAAGTATAAGAATTGTTTTTTATAGATTTGGAATTACTTTTGTTAGAACGATGAGAGATGATTTATTAAAAAAGCATCTGTGGATTTATAAATTCTTTCAGAGAGATATCTATATTAAAAGTTATTTTTGTTAATATATAAATATTATATTAATATATAAGATTATATCATATTATGTAATGGTATAATATTATGTAATTATGTATATTATGTATTACCAAAAAAGAATCTATAGATGTATAAATTATTCTTCCAGAGAAATCTTTATATTAAAAATTGTTTTTATCTTTCTGATGTATGAATATTATATGACATTATATAATTATAAAATGTTAATATTTAATATATCATATTACATCATATAATGACATAATATTATATAATTTATTACAAAAGAATCTGTAGATCTTATATATTTCTTTCATAAAAATCTCTATATTAAAAATTATTTTCAATAAAAGAGCATTACATCATTGAACGAAGATTTATCAAAAAAGAATTTATAAATTTATAAATTTTTGAAATGAAAATGAAAATATCGTATTACATCATATTATATAATAGTATGTAATATTATATAATTTATCATAAAGGAATTTCTGGATTTTCTTTAACAAAGATATGTATATTAAAAATCTATATTAAATTTTTATTATTAAAATAATATAATCATTAAAAATAAGTTATTAAGAGTAAAAATCTATAAATTTTTTTCTAATTTTTCTTAATATATCATTAATTAATAAATAATATATCATTAATTTACTAAAAAAGGATCTGTAAATTCTTTCAGAAAGATATTCAATCAAAAATCAAGGAATTTTATATTTTTCAAGCAGATAAAATCATAATTAAACAAAAATGAAGAAATGTAGAAATGGCAAATCTGATTACGACATCAATAAAAATTATAGAAATCAGGTTCAATCCAGATAATTTTAGTTCGATCGAGTGAGTTCTTTCGAAACCATGAATGTTAATTAAACATGTCTAATTAATTGCTTGGTAAAACTTTCCCTCTCTGTGAACAGTTTTTCCCAGTTTTTTCGAGGGAGAGGCTTGACGAAGAGATAGTTCTCAATAGCCATGATCGATCCACGTGAAAGACGAGCACGATGAACGGTTTAATTGGCTTCGACTTGGTTCAATTTGATGGGTCTCGATGTGATCAATAATTAAACGGTGAATGTTCTGCTTTAATTTATATATAGCACGTTATAGTTATTTAATATAGTCTTTCTCTAATAGAAATAGCTGTCTTTTTCTTACTTTCTATTTTTGAAATTTTTATTAATTCTTGTATATTTTGAATTTTTCCTTTTTTATAATTTTCTTAAATCTCATTCTCATTATTTATCGTCAGATTTAAATTTTATTGATCTTCAAATTAATTTACGCAATATGAGATATATTTGAAATTCTAGAATTATATGATTGTAATATTGCTGGCATACGAAATTTTATTAATCTATAATTCGTGACATTCTAGGTTTTGCAATTGCATAAGATACATGAACATTGATTGCAATCAAAATGGCATACGAATTTTTCATTCGAGATAGATGCAAAATGCAATTGAACATTGAAGAAATTTACATTTTGTGAAAATTTTCAAATTTTATGTACATATATATAATTTCATTGATCTGCAAATATAATTAGATTTTATATAATAAAATAAAACGATAACACTTACAGTTACAGTGAAAATTGTACACGAAATTTTAATAATTTTCAATTGCAATTCATAATATTTCAGGTTAATATAGATACCAATTGCACACGAAATTTTATTCAGAACTTTTTTGACATTCCAAATTCCATAATAGGATAAGATGCAATCAAAATCTTGATTTTCATAACGTTTAGCTTCTATAATAGTAATAATGATATAAAATCAAAACCTTCTTACTAACTTTTGTTGATTTTCAGATAACAATTTTAGATTCTATAGTAATAGTATATCTTCAACTTCTCTAACAGGATAAAATGGCAATTAAAATTGCACAAGAAATTTTTCATGACTTTCATAACATTCCAGTTTTTACAATAAGATGCAATCAAAATCTTCTTAGCAACTTTTATTGTTGATATTGTGATCTTACGTATAGATGACAATCCACTTGACATTTCTTCGCTTCACTTCCATACCCTTCCCTTCCCTTGCTTCACGAATCTTCCCAACAGAAAATAATTCATAAGATCCAACTTTTACGATCCATTTGCCGCTAACGTGTAAAGCATCGGCCATCCTTCCATCCGTTTATGGCCACCCAACTAGTTCGTCACACGTCAGGTGTTAACCCATTTTCCACGGTTTTTGCCGATAGATGTCGCAATCGTGCCTCAAACGAGAATCCACTCGTTTGCGCGAAGTTTGGAAAATAGAACGAGCATTTCGAAATTGCCGAGTCTCGAAAAGTCGCGATTAGCAGAAAGCCGTTTCCATCGATTGGAACACGCGTTTCTCAAGTTATGCAAATGTAGCATGTATGTATGTATGTATGTATGTATGTATGTGTGTATGTTCCACTGACCTATAGGCTACATGAATTTTCGAATATTGATTCGTTCGCACGAGCGAAAGAGCGTAAAACTAGCGTAAAACTAAAAAATGGCGGATTTTCAATATTTTTTACGTTTTATCGAAAATGTTTTTGATAAAAAAAAAATTAATTTTGCAATTACATATACTCACTTGTTTTTTGAGTGGAAAATGAAGATTGATTGTGTTCGATGTTAAATAGCAGTTATGGGTTCTCTATCATGATTGAATTTTTTCGACAAAAAAAAATTTTAAATTTTACATGGAATTTACTAGAATATACTTTGTGCAGTTTAAATGTGATAATCGATTTTCTATGATGATTATAAAAATATAGAAATATTTTATACATAAAATATGTTGAAATATAAAAATTATAAATTCATGAAAATAGCGATTGTCAAGCGTAGTTTTTTTGGAATTTTTTATTTTTTTGAAGCCTTATGTGACGAAGTTGTATATATAAATATATAAAAATTGTGGATTTTCATTTTTCTTTTTAATTTCTTTTTAGTTTCTTTTGATAAATAAACTGATTAAATACAAATTTAGTAACACGATGCATTGTTATCTTAATGGAAAACATATATAAACTGTGCTTTTTAAAGCTGCATAATTTTTCAATCTTTAAAAAATAAATAGATGAAATCGTAAGTTTTCAAATTCATGCGAAAAATTTTACAGAAAATTTCATACAGAAAAATTCTAAAATAGTTCATTTAATATTCTCAAGCTTAAAATCTTCTAAAGTTAAACGTCCATAATTAATTTGCATAATAATCTACAAAATAAAACTGTTCTATTATTTCGTTCAAACACAAATCGAATTTTACAATTAATCAAATTAAATTGTCAAATTTAATTTTAAAAATGGCAAACGTAACTGGCAGCATACTTAAAAACACATTACTTTTAAACATAGAACATTATATTGCATTAAAATATAATTTTTACTATCTAAAAATAGATAATATATATATATTTTTTTTCTTTTATTTTTTAAAAATAAAAAAAATATTCGACAATGGATCACAGATGGAACAATCCTCATCTTGAGATATTTCAAAAAGATGTAATCAATGCTTCAAACTTTCGATAAATTTTCGTTTCTTTAAAATAACATAACCTCGAAAATTTTAAATTAACAAAAAAAAAATACTCGGAATTTATCGATCTGTTGTAAAAAAAAAAAAATTATGTAAATACAAAATTTTATCGGAATTTTAATTAGAATTGATTTTAATTAATTAAAATAATTTCCTTGTAAAATAATTTCACGATAGAACGATAATGTGAATATAGAACAGAGTACGAAAATAGAAGGAAATCGAATCTTATCGGTTGGATGTCGCATCGAAAGAGGCACGATTTGAGTTGTGTTATATATTCGCGTGGAGAAAAGCCTCGTCGTTGGCTTTACGTAATCGGTAATAAATACGACCGCAATCGATATTTCGAAGTGACACCCATCGGTGCCGTGCCAATCCAAATCGAGAACCATTAGGGGATTTTTAACGTTTCTAAAATGGAAATTGTTACGACGACGCGTCATTTTTCACTGTGAATCACACAATTACGAAATGGGGATACGTCGATTTTATAGTGAATTATAGACGTATATACGTAGAGTGAACCGGTTTCGATACGCCGCCATATTGAATTATCTTAAGGATTGGATTGTTTTGTAATTTTGTTATTTGAATCGAAACATGCTTATATGTATTTTATTTTTTTCAAATTATTTTTATTACTTCGAATAAAAAAAGTGTGTTTTAGATTTTCTTTTCTAGATTTGTGTTACGTAAATTTTTTTTTTTTTTTCGGAATTGATAAATTGGATGCTCGTGCAAATTAATTTGTTTTTTAAAAATCCTTTGTACTACAGTCACGTTTTTAGTTACACGATGCATAATAATAAAAAAATTTTATGGAAAAAATTGATAATCGAATATCTCCATAATTTTATTTCGATCGATTCTTGAATAAAGTTTTGAACTTGGATTATAAATAATAATGCAAAGAATTTAAGATCTCAATTATTTTTTTTTTTTTTTCCCTTTATTCTTAAAGAATTCATTTTCATATTGGAAATAATTTAAACTACATTTACAGTATGATAAATAATTGAATTTAAGCAATATCGCAATATAAAAAATATTTCCGTAAATATTTATAAAATTTACATATAATGACCCCTTAAGCCTTATCCTCGCTTACATCATCTTTCAATACATTGTTACCAATTTATCGCTAATTTGCTAATTGCATCGATATTGAAAACATTATTGCGTAAACAACAAGTTATCAACTCATTATTTCGATAAAACGTCCTCCTCACCACACGTTATTTGAATTTGCAGCGTTCCATAATTAATTTCCTTCCCTGCGTGCTAATAAACAATTGGCAATACGAAATAATACGAAATAAAGATCACGAAATAAGGATCTAAAACAGCGAGATATTATTTAAATCAGTTTATCATTCCCCACCGCATTTATTATTGTCCAGTATGCCGTTATGGTGGACTAACAACAGCCGTCTTCAAGGGAACTCTCCCTTCTCCCCTCCTCCTCCTCCTCCTCCTTCCTTCTTCCCCCCCCCCCGTCCTCTCGAGTATGCAAGACGACAACGTTAAAATATTTCGAGTATTTTCTTTTTTTTTTCCTCCCTCCACTTGATCTCGAAAATGTATTCAGAGTTAAAAGTTAAAAATAAGTAAAATTGGCGTTTCGAAAGGAAATGGGAAATCTTGACTGGCTTTTAGGTTTATTACGCTCGCGTGAAGGATGATAAATCAATAAAGGTACGTATTATTTCCACCGGAGAAAACACGTATATCGAGGTCTCGCTTATTTTTAGAAGAAACGTGACACGAGAAACGGTGCTACGCGTGAGATGTTGAATCGAATTTACCGAAATGGATATAATTGGGCTTTAGTGATATAATTGAGGGAAAATAAAATTTTTTTTGCTCAATATTCGAACTTTTGATTAGATTTAGGTTAGATTCAGGTTGTACCGGAAACGTTGTTAAATCGAATTTAGTGGAATTGAATATCTTGGTGATGTAATTTAGATGGAAAATAGAATTTTTTTCGTTGTGTTAATTTTGGATTATGATTAGTTTTAAATTACGTTTAGGTTAGGTTAAGGTCCATGAAAAATGATGGGCGAAATGTTGAATTGAATTTACCGAAATCGATATATTTTTTGCAGCTTATGTCGTGTAATCGTGTTTAATGTTTAAATTATCTTTTAGATTTTATTGTGTTTGGATACACGAAAAACATTGCGAAGATTTTTTTGTGCGTTTAATTTTTGAATTAATTAGTTTAGACAAATCATTTTATTTGGAGAATGAAAATTTAATTTTAAAAATAAGAAGAGTTAAGTTAGATTGGATGAAATTATTTTTGAATATTGCCTCATCTGTTGTTTGAAATTCGGGAAAAATCACAATATGATTTCATAGAGAAGTCTAGAGGAACGGCGAATTACGAAACTTGGCGGGAAACGCCCAAGTTGCCGAAACAACTCTTACGTAAACTTCTTTTCGAAGGCTCCTACTACCTATTCTCGAGTTTTGTTCATTGTTTAATAGGAATTTGATAGAAGAAAAATAACTTTAAATATTAGAGAATAATATATAGAATAATATTTTTTCTATTTCTATAAAATATATGTAGATATAATACAAAAATTTCACA